AATGTCGGATAGCGTTTTCGGATAGCGTTTCTGATTTAGGATAAAGAACACACAGATACGAAAATTTTAGGATAATACATGGCGTATATGGACATTCCTATGTACGCCCCTGTTTAAATACCGCCACCAAAGCAATTAAAATACACCTTTCAAGTTGAACTTAGAATTTTGAAACATTTTGCCAGTTAGATGAATGACATTAAATAATTTAACTACATTATGTTGTTTAGGAGTCAATCTTCCAGTGGATGGGGGGCGACATGCCATGTGCCCCCGCTAGAGAACCCAGATAGAGAAAAAATGTTTGGCGACCTGTACTTTGCCCGAGATAGTGAAATGATAATGTTTTACACTGATTAATTCAAATTTAAGAAAAATATAGATAAATATTTTTTATTTATTTTCTCAATGTCATCTAGACTAACAGAAAAAAGCCAAGTTCATGTACTGCTTGTGACCTGGTGGCTTCATTAGTTTTGATCATTTACCGAAGTATTATAGATCTCATTAAGTGTAGATTTTTAGATACCAATTAGCAGCACGTTCTGTTGTGTCCGTAAATCCAGGATACAACAATATTTGTCAAAATAAACTTGATCAGAGCTGGCACATATCTTCTGCTTCTCACTCACACTCCCAGATCTAAACATTTATATTCATTTTTAATCTTATCTTAAAGGGACTGTAAGCGTAATTTCAAATGACTATCCATGCAAAGACGGCATTGTCCGTTTCATTTATCCTTACAAGTTTTGTCGGATCCAGGTAAAAATTAGATATCCATGAATATAATTTTCAACTGTGGTTTCCCCACAAAAATGACTTGCATATTTCTCATTGGAATGTGAAAGATATTGCCGTTGAAAAAACGACAGTATCTTCCACATTATTGATCAGTGTCCGAATTTAATGAATTTAAGCCGCGTCTCAAATCCCCCAAAAACCGGGTTCAATTAAGCGCTGGCTTAAATCTTAAAAAATAAATACAAATTTAAGTGGAACCATCAAAATTTGAGCCGCGGCTTAAATTTAAACCGCGGCTCAAATTTTTAAATTCGGTAAAAGATGGAATCTCTAAACTTACTTGAATGGAATTCCAGAGAAATTTTTCTTCATCTTCTGAACTCCGTCAAACTAAAACATAATTGTGTTTGAGAACAATTCAAACCATGATAAACCGAAAATTATAGCCTTTTTATGATCTTTGAGAAATTGGTTCTGATGTAATGTGTGACCCATAAATCAGATGAATCGAAAGACGACATTTAATTAACGTGCATTTTGTGTTTTAGAAAGCAAATATGGTTTTTTCCGATAGCTTGATAACTGACTTATTTAGTAGAATGGGTCTACAGTGTTAGCCAGAAAACTGTAAATTGGAAGACGACATCAAATCAAAACTGAAATGCTTTTGATGGTGTTGCAAATAGTTTAACTATTAAGTTATTAACTCATTTATTAAGTAAAATGGGTATGTAATGTATACAATGAACAATTGCTGCATTTTTATTGGAATATTAAAAGTAATAAATTAGGATAGTCTGATAGTAGACTTCCCATTCCAGAGTTTTCTGGTTATCACTGTATGTACAGGTTCAGTGTACACTGCTAAATTGTATGTTTATTTCTTAAATCTTAAAGGGACAGTAAAGGAAAAATGAAAAGGGGCGGGCATAGGCTAAAAGCTAATCGCTTTAGCTCTTAATCACGACCCATGAAAGTTATTTCTGATGCTTCTTTCTCGAGAAATTGATTAAAAACTGTGTCAAATTTATACGAAAATTCATATATGTAAAATTTTGAAAATCTGAAACTTAAATCACGTGACTAGAACTACCACCAATGGCAGTGCAGTATAGTACTTGTCATGTGCCTCTGGCTGTATCACATGAAGACTATACTACACTGCCATTGGTTGAATTTCTGGTCAAGAAATACGAACGTATAAATAATTTAATGAATTAAATCTATTAAAAATAAAAATGAAAATTATGAAATTATAATTGGAGCAAACCTTAGTTACAATTAGCTTTCTCTGGGATATCTTCGTTTAAAGATTGGTTGCCTATTTGCTGAATTTGATCTATTTAAACCTACTTTAGTTGTCTGCTACAGGCAATTTAGGAAGGAGGTTTCTACCTGCCTGCATATCTATATATATATTATCTTTGATATGTAAACATATCCGGGTGTACACAACCGACCTCTCTATTAATTAATTAATAGGGAGGTCGGTTGTGTACATCTGAGGTAAGCTGTTTCCGTTTCTCTATGATGAGTCCAAGAAAGAGGAATAAAGGGAAAGGAAATGGCGCTGGACTGGCATGAGAAAGCCAGTCGCACTGCTTTGCAGACAAGTTCGGTAAACCTTACACACACTCTTTTGGTACAGACTACAGACACACAACATGATTACAGTCAAGGAAACTGTTCTCAATTATAATTAAGCTTGAATAACGACTAGTTTATTGCAAAATTTAATCAAATTATATTCTGTGCATGAAAAATTTGGCTTATAGTGTTAACTTAGATGTATAAATAATATACTATATGTATATTAAAATTATTTTTAAGTAAACAATTAACAATAAAAAAATGTACTCTCTTAGACTGTACAAATACGGAGATTTGTATGTACTGTATATACCTACAGTACACACCTTCGGTTCGGTACTTTACACACACTCTTTTGGTACAGACGCACACACATGACGTTTCCGCCCCCTGTATTAAATGTATTGAGATTGACCTCCTCTAGACAGACGCTCGACCATTTTCTTGTTTTCAGCAGGAAATTCTTCATCTAAATAAATAAATAGAAATTGAATTTTTATCACAAACACAAATGTTTATCCCTAATGAAAATGTTTTTCAAAACTAAAGTTTTTTTTTCAAGAAAACCATCATATCGTTTTTCGATTCTCAAAAGTTGAAAACGAATCGTTCGTTTGTTGTGACCCATCGTTTTTAAAAACGATTAACAATCCTTTTTAGCTCTTTGGAAAGTCTTTAACAATTTTTTAGCCACACTCTCTCAAAGTCAAATTGCACATTTTCAGTTTTTCTTGAATAGGGTTAAAAAATGTTGCAATTATATTTTGCATCTTTAAACTCTATAAAACTAACTTTTTCAATAAATATTTCGACTGTTGCAACTTTGCTAATATTTTTGCACATAGAATTAAAAAATAATGTAAATTTCGTACAATCGTCTTTTAGGTCTAATCCTTTCTGGTAACCTTGCATAAGTTTGCTTAAATGACGTCTTCCTATACCACAATTTTATTCTATATATATACTTTGTTTGGGTCTGTTTGTTTGTTTGTAACCAATAAACGTCTAAACGGCTAAACCGATCGGTGCCTAAATTTTGAGTGGGACCTCACATGACCCCAGTGAAGATTTGAGGAACATCCAAATTTTGAGAAAAAAAATTCTGGAAATTAGTTGATTTTTTTTTAAATTGCGCCACTTAAAAAAAAGAAAAACCCGCCAAAATTTGAAAATTTGTTCTAATGGCCGACTTCTAGAGCAACAGTAAAAACTTGAAAAGCTAAAGCTATTTACAGGAAAGAGGGCACGAAGCGCACTAAAAGTATTTTTTATTTTAACCTTATCTTTAGATTTATCTCCTCTCTCTTGTCTCTCCTCATCCTTCTCCATAGAGGACCAGGATCCCTCTCTCTTGTCTCTCCTCATCCTTCTCCATAGAGGACCAGGATCTACGCCACTTTAAAGGGACTGTTCACATGATTTAAAGGGACTGTTCACGTAATTTAAAGGGACTGTTCACGTAATTTAAAGGGACTGTTCACGTGATTTAAAGGGACTGTTCACGTAATTTAAAGGGACTGTTCACGTGATTTAAAGGGACTGTTCACATAATTTAAAGGGACTGTTCACGTAATTTAAAGTGACAATCCATTTAAAAAATGGGTATGTCTGATTTACAACGATACACTTTATCTGTTTATTACTGTAAATTAGATATCGTCGTTTTCTCAAGCTTGGAACTTGTTTAATTCGGGCATTTTTTCCATTATTTTATGCAGAAATGCACTTAGGTCACTTTATTATTATAGAGAACCCACATTTTCAAAGAGAATATGGTGGAGATCAGAAATCAGAAATAGCTTTTTTTGTAATTGTGAATCAAATATGTAGGATCACTTATAATTACACCAATAGTCCGGAAGGTTTGAAAATGCATAGAAATAATAAATAAATAAAGAATTAACAGGTTGAAGGAGAAGAATAAATAAAAGGATAAAGGTAAGGATTAAAAGATGGATGAAAGAATGAAAGAGAGGATGAATGAGAGGATAAATGAGAGGATAGGTAAATGGGCAAATGTATGAATAAACCTGGTGTCTCTGTGTGCAGCCATCTTTCCCTTCAACACTCTGACTTTCATTATTATCTGTCCCTTTAACACAAAAAAGTTTTAAAGAAATTTTACAAAATTTTCTTATTTGAAGATTAATAGTTAACATATATTCAAAAGTAGAGATTGACATCGTTTTCGTTAACGAACGTAATATTTCAAAACGAACGAATTTTTTTCGTAAACGATGTTGTCCTTTAGAAAAATTAATCAACGTTAGCCAAACGGATTGGATCGCTCAAAGAAATAAAAACGATCGATTAAACATTTGTTTTAACATTCTGAAAATTCTGAACAAATGAATTCAAATTTTTACTGAACGACTAAAAAATTTTGGTCGTTACCGAACAATGAACGAACAAATGAAAACAGCGATGGTAAGGTTCTTGTTCCATAGTTACCAGGGTACTGCATGTAAAGTTGGTTTAATGAGAGAACAAAATATGGTCTGAGTATGATCGTTTTGTATATATATTGTATATAAATTGTATATATATTGTATATAAATTGTATATAAATTGTATATATATTGTATATATATTGTATATATATTGTATATTTATTGTATATATATTGTATATATATTGTATATATTGTTGTTAAAATAAATTCGAAATATAAGGAAGACGATTTCACCGACTAAAATGCCGATGTTAATTCTCTGGATGTGTGTGTACTCAGGATCCATTTCCGCAATACAACACACCACACATGTCAAATCCCCGCTCACCCTAGC